TTAGATCTAATTGAAGGACACAGAGGAGATCGTTAGATCTCATTGAAGGACACAGAGGAGATTGTTAGATCTCATTGAAGGACACAGAGGAGATTGTTAGATCTCATTGAAGGACACAGAGGAGATTGTTAGATCTCATTGAAGGACACAGCCAAGATCTTTAGATCTCATTGAAGGACACAGAGGAGATTGTTAGATCTCATTGAAGGACACAACCAAGATCTTTAGATCTCATTGAAGGACACAGAGGAAATCTTTAGATGTCATTGAAGGACACAGCGGAGATCTGATTGGTAGATATGGCAACTGTCCTTTCTTTAGTTTTTTTTTAAGCATTCTGAATGATTCCGGGTATTTTACAATCTTGTGTGTATCGGTCATACTTTGTGACAATATAGTGTTTTTGTGTGTTTATATATTATATGAATGATCAGCATTTACCAGACTTCTCTGTTATTTTACAGATTTTAAATCCACTTGTATCCAAAGCACAGCTGTCTCAGACGTTACAGTCCCGCCTCACTAGCTGTAGAATTATTGGGAAAATTGCAAACAAGTTTGAATCCCATGTGTAAGTATGGCATTATGGTGACATTGTTGGCCTGGTAGAGCACATGGCATATATTACAGCTGTGATACTACAATGGAGAATGTATGAAGTTATACACTACTATGGAGGGTGATCCTCAAAGCCAAACACCAGGAAAAGCAAATATTGTCCTCATACAAGAGTCATGTGTGTTCCTCCTGAACCTTGGTGAGCTTTGTGTATTTCTTCCAGATCTGTGCAGTAATCCAGTGTGAGAGTTGGTGCTTCCTGTAATAAAGACCGGTCACTGCTGCTCTCCCTCCTTGTGCAGGGTGACTGGTCTTGTCTCCGCCCCCTCCTGTAATAAAGACCGGTCACTGCTGCTCTCCCTCCTTGTGCAGGGTGACTGGTCTTGTCTCCGCCCCCTCCTGTAATAAAGACCGGTCACTGCTGCTCTCCCTCCTTGTGCAGGGTGACTGGTCTTGTCTCCGCCCCCTCCTGTAATAAAGACCGCTCACTGCTGCTCTCCCTCCTTGTGCAGGGTGACTGATCTTGTCTCCGCCCCCTCCTGTAATAAAGACCAGTCACTGCTGCTCTCTCTCCTTGTGCAGGGTGACTGGTCTTGTCTCCTTCCTCTCTTGTAATAAAGACCTCTCACTACTGTTCTCTCTCCTTATGCAGGGTGACTGGTCTTGTCTCCGACCCCTCCTGTAATAAAGACTGCTCTCTCTCCTTGTGCAGGGTGACTGGTCTTGTCTCCGCCCCCTCCTGTAAGTTTCTGCTGGCAGCCTGTATCTGCAAAGGCTATGTACAGCACAGTGATGATGTCACTGATTCCTCACTGTATATAGACTTTGCTGTCCTGAACTGCAAACCTGCATTGGCAGTGTGATGATGCGGCCTCCTCCAGCAGCGTTACAGTGTTGTTACCCTGGAGAAAGATGGCATTGTCTAGTGGCCATACAGCGCTGCAAATCTCGTTTGCACCATGAACAACTGTGTGGATGGTTTAATAATCAGCTCCTTAGTGCAGTATTAAGAAAAAACATGGTCAATTATCGTGGGCACTTGTTTCTAAAATAGTGGCTAGTAACATTTATAAAAAATTGTTGTTCCAGGGAATATCGGATTGTGGGGGCAGAGGTGGGCAATTCTGGCCCTCAGCCGTGCTTTAACTCCAAATCCTTTCATGCATCTGCCTCTGGGAGTCATGCCTCTAGCTGTCAGAGCCATGCAATGCCTCATGGGACTTGTAGTTCTACAATAGTTGGAGGGCTGGAGTTGCCCACTCCTGCCCTAGGGGATCAGGAAAGAAATGTTTTCCCTATTGGAACAAATTGAATCTTAAGTTTTAGGTTGTTTTTTTTAACTGTGGGTATAGGGTCCTGTATATGAAGGTTTTATATTGTGTATTCATTTTTTTTCTATTGGCTGAATTCGATGACTTGTGCATTTCAGAGTAAAGCGAGACATACTCCCCCTAGTGGAGTCTCTGTGTCAGGACGTGGAATACGAAGTCCGTTCTTGTATGTGTCGCCAACTTGAATACATCGCCCAAGGCATAGGGTAAGCCTATCTTATTCACATGTAAAGATGTGGAAGTATATGTGATCTATAGCTTTGACTTGGCCAAGGTTCTCCCAGTTAAAACCCAGGTGCAGCCAAAACGCTTTTTTTTTGTTTAGTTTTGGATACAGTAGGGAAGGGTTTGACTTTCCGTTGACTTTTTTTTATTGCTGTGTGTGCCTACTAGGGAATTTATCCCTCACTTACTTTCACCGCTACCGAATACCGATACCGGAAGTCCCACTAGAGAAGCCAGGCAGCGTGTAATGACTCGCCACATGGCTTCCGGTTTAGCAGGGAAGCTGTCTCCATGCTCCCTCGTCACCAGGTAGGAAGAGGAGGAAGCATGGAGCCGGCTTTCTGGCCAATCAGGAAGCCGGGCGCCGTGTAATGACTCGTTGGCCTGCTTCCTGATTGGCCGGGAAGCCGACTCCATGCTCCCTCGTCATCAGGTGATGAGGGCGCAGGAAGCTGGCTTTCTGGCCAATCAGAAAGCCTGGGGGTGTGTAATGACTCACCGCCAGCTTCCTCATTGGCCTGCTTCCCGACCAATCAGGAAGTTAGGCGGCGAGTCATTACACGCTGCCCGCCTTCCTGATTGGCCGGGAAGCCGGGTCCATGCTCCCTCATCACAAGTGATGAGGAAGCATGGAGCTGGTTTCCCGGCCAGTCAGGAAGCAGAGCAGCGTGTAATGACTCGCTGGCCAACTTTCTTGATACCGGAAGCTCAGGTATCGGGCCAGGCATTGGAGCATACTCAGCATCGGCACCGATACTTGTATCGATATCGCTGCATTCCTACTTGCGAGTACCAAGGTTTCTATCTTTGCTCATAGCAGCCAATAGGAGCAGGAAGGATGGGGGGGTGGTTGGGGGAAGGTCGGTTATGATAAATTCATGGGCAGTTTTTTCCATCATTAAATACCAGATATACAGTATATCATCCTCCTTTCTCTTTATAATAGATCACAGCCAGTAGAGCTGACAGTCTAAAGTCCCCACTCAATCCGCATACATCCACATGCTAAATCAAATGAATCCTGACACCTCGTTATTAACACTTCGGCAGTACTTGTCACGGAGCCTTTCTGTTCACTGATATATTCTGCCGTACAGCAATGAACTTCCTGAGGCAAACTGTACTACTTTTTTAATTAATGTAATCTCTTGTGGAATGGATGTGATTAAGTATTCTTTAAAGGAATAGATGTCTTAGGAAAGTATTAGACTTATCAGTCACTTAATTAGGACATACCCATAATGCAGTGGTAAAGAAGAGAAATACAGAGAAATGGGAATATTATATTGAGACACCATTTTTTTGTTTGTTTTATAGATCTCTTCTTAATGTTTAAATCAGAGATAATACAATATTAGAGAGATGATTTCATGGATTGTACACCATGGTGCAGAAAATGGCTCTTCACATGTTTACTGACTCCTCAGTGATGTCACCAGTCTCTAGTGAATGGATAGGCTGCATTCTCAGTGATGTCACCGGTCTCTAGTGAAGGGATAGGCTGCATTCTCAGTGATGTCACCGGTCTCTAGTGAGTGGATAGGCTGCATTCTCAGTGATGTCACCGGTCTCTAGTGAGTGGATAGGCTGCATTCTCAGTGATGTCACCGGTCTCTAGTGAATGGATAGGCTGCATTCTCAGTGATGTCACCGTTCTCTAGTGAATGGATAGGCTGCATTCTCTGTGATGTCACCGGTCTCTAGTGAGTGGATAGGCTGCATTCTCTGTGATGTCACCACTCTCTAGTGAATGGATAGGCTACATTCTCAGTAATGTCACCGGTCTCTAGTGAATGGATAGGCGGCATTCTCAGTGATGTCACCGGTCTCTAGTGAAGGGATAGGCTGCATTCTCAGTGATGTCACCGGTCTCTAGTGAAGGGATAGGCTGCATTCTAAGTGATGTCACCGGTCTCTAGTGAATGGATAGGCTGCATTCTCAGTGATGTCACCGGTCTCTAGTGAAGGGATAGGCTGCATTCTCTGTGATGTCACCGGTCTCTAGTGAATGGATAGGCTGCAATATCTGTGATGTCACCGCTCTCTAGTGAATGGATAGGCCGCATTCTCAGTCATGTCCCTGGTCTCCAGTGAATGGATTGGTCATTTGTATTCAAACGCTCAAAGCGCGCTGTGGTCCTGCGTTGTAGCGCACGTATAATGCAGCGGTGTAAATAAGCCCTAAGGGCTTGTTCAGACCAAGCGCGGAGCAGAGCAGAACAGAGCAGTTACAGAACGGATCAAAACCAATATTTTGGGCTCTAGTTCACACCAGAGCGTTCAGTTCCAGAGCATGTGGAAAAACTGCAGCATGCCCTATTTTTTCTGCTCTGGAACGCACCAAAACGCATGCAAACACATAAAAATGCATGCAAACGCACTGAAAGAAAATGTTTGGGTTTTTTTTACAAAAAAAGGCCCGTAACGCAACAAAACACACTGCCCTGCGTGTGCAGAAACTCATGCAGATCTGGTCCGCAATTGGTGTGAACAGGCCCTAAAACGTGACGGGGATCTAATTTCTTCCTGCTCCATCCAAAGCTTAAAAAAACGCCTATACATGAAGTTTAATTAATGAGAAGAATCGTCAGCGTTACCCGCTGCGCGTGGGATGCGTCTTTGTCAGGTTGACTGCAGCCTATCCAGCCCCCTCACCCCCCCCCTCTAGTGGCGAAGCGCTCTATCAGCCCACAAGAACGCCTCCATCAGACACTTCTGAACAAGCAGAGTTAAAACAGGATAGAATAGCGGCGCCCTGTGTGGGGGCGTCCTCGCGTTCCCGAAGCCCACACAACAGATACGGGGGTGTAGTCGCCTCGCCCTCTCCTCTCCTCCGCTGAGTCACCGCTAAGCGCCTCTTCAATAGGAGAGGAACAATCGGCGGCACCTGCTCTCCGCATGATTTATGCGTGACTAAGTGGTTCACCTTCGCGTTATTGTGCGGCCGCCCGCGAGACGATGACTTATTCTAATTCATCTCGAAGGTTAATGCAATGTTCCCAGCGACGGATTGTGGGGGAACGCCGGAGAACGCGAAGTGCATCTCTAATACATTTATTTATGACGGGCTTTTATAGAGCGCCCATCAGTGCACATTCACATCAGTCTCTGTCCTCAAGAAACTTACAATCTAAGGGCCCGATATCACATACTAGGGCCAATGCAGACAGGAGCCGGTTAACTTGCCAGCATGTCTGGAAACCCACACAGGCACAGGAAGCACATGCAAACTGCATGCAGATAGTGTTCTGGATGAGAACCCCAGTGCTGCAAGGAAGAAGTGTTAACCACTGTGCTGCCACTATACTGTATGTTTTGCATTTTCAGATGCCAGTTGTATTGCGCAATGCAAAAAAGAGGCTGTTGCTTTAATAGGATCTGCTCAGGATAGAGATATAGGAGCTGTCATGGCTGGCTGCCAGTCGTTCTTATACTAATTATTCAGCCGCTGACCTGGAACTGGCCGCATGCTTATGCTGCGTCGCTAACTTGCTAAGTAATAAAGTAAGGATATGTATGACAGCCAAGGTACCTGCACCTTTTAAAGGGACAGGTCATCTAAAAGGGACGTTTTAGATTTAGGTGGAGCCTGGTAGGCTGTGTCAGCTTTTGGCTTCTTGTATGTCTTGGATGGCCCAATAGTGAGATCTTCCTGACTCTGTTGCTGTCTGACTGTGAGTTTTGGGTGCTTTCACCCACTTTTTGTGTGTTCCAAATCCTCCTGTTACGTTAATATAAAACATGCAAAAAGCCCATTGTTTTGTATAGTTATATTCAATTATTTTGTATATATGTTTTATTCATTCATTTATTTATTATTGTTTTATTGTATATAAGTTCTTGTTTGTAAGATTTTCAATAAACAAAATTAGCCCCTCATAATGGACACTGCAGGTGTACAGACCTAGGAACTCCTCACAGGCATGGTGGGAGCCCCTCATAATGGGCAAAGCAGGTATGCAGACCTGGGAATTCCGCCTAGGGATGGTAGGAGCCCCTCACAATAAGCACAGCAGGTGTACAGACCCAGAAACTCAACGCATAGCTCTCACAAATAGAGTCCCCAAGAGGAAGAAGAGACTGCCAGGCGGTTTAACACACCAGCATTCACCAAACACTGAAATATCTGTCTTTTAGTGGAGTGATCCTTTAGTACATTATTTTGGACAGCATATACAGAAGTCATATCTTACATTAGTTAAAATGATATTGAACATTCTGTGCAGAAACCGATAATAGATCTGATCGCTGGAAATGATGTGAGGCAAGCAGGAGAACTTGGTGGTGGTGGTGGGAGCCCCTCATAATGGACACTGCAGGTGTACAGAACCGGGAACTCAGCACAGGGATGGTGGGAACCCCTCATAATGGACACAATAATAACCCTCAGCATTGGTACCAGTGGCCACAGTAATAACACCCAGAGTTGATGTCAGTGGCTACAATATAATTGGCAGTAATAATAACCCCAACATTGATATCAGTGGATGCAATAATAACCTCCATCATTGAAGTCAGGCATTGGCGACAGCCTGAAAAATAATAACTCCCAACACTTGAGTCAGTGGCCACAATAATAACCCCTAACGTTGTTGTCTGTGGTTGCGATAATAACCCCAACACTTATGTCAGTGGATACAATAATAACCCCAAGATTGGTGTCAATGGCTGGAAGAATAACTCCAGCATTGGTGTTAGCGGGTGCAATAATCACTCCCAACATTGATGTCAGTCATCTCAATAATAACCCCCAACATTGATATCAGTGGATTCAATAAAACCCCCAACATTGAAGTCAGTGGCTGGAATAATAACCCCCAATATTGGTGTCAGTAGTCGCAATATTAACTCTTAACATTGGTGTCAGTGGCTGTAATGATAATCACCAACATCTTGACAAAGTGACAGATGATCTTCAAAGCGTTATTTGCGTCCTCTGCTTCCTATAAGATTATATTAATGTGTAATTATTCTTTGTTGCAGGACAGAATTATCAAAATCAGCCATCCTCCCTGAGCTCGTGGAACTGGCTAGGGATGAGGGGAGCAGCGTCCGGTTGGCAGCCTTCGAGACGCTGGTCAATCTGCTGGTCATGTTCGACCATGGTACGTGAAGACTGCGGTTGTTTATTTTCAGCCTGGGCGCCTTTTCACCAGTCTAGACATTAAGTACAAGCAATTATTGGATGGCTAATCCTTAAAAAACAAAAAAACAAACTGCAGAATATTCACACAATTTGCCTCCTAGATACCCGCAATCTGTATATGTACAGTTCCCTGGGCCATGAGGATGTTAAATAATGTTCCACCTGAGAATTAGACGCGTGCCTGATTTTCATGATATCACTGAGATAAATACTGCAGGTCTACGGCTAGTGATGAGGAACCAATTAGCTTGGATCCCGACCATTGGATCGCCATGACACTAAATTATTTTGCTGTTGTGTGCCGTTTGACTTTACTGGCAGATATCAGATAATTAAACTGACTGAAAAGAAAACTTATTTTGTGGCATTTAAAGGCAAAGAATGTTTTTTGATTCACTCTTGTGTTATCTTATTGCAACTCCCTTCTCATTGGCCAACCTCTACACAGGCTATCCCCCCTTCAGTCTATCATGAATGCTGCTGCTAGACCCATCCACCTCACCAACCGCTCAGTGTCCGTCTCTCCTCTTAATGAGCCTCAGTGTCCGGAGCCTCTCCTATTCCCAGGAACTCTCTACCCCAATCTGTTTGACAATGTCCTGCTCTGTTGGCCTTTAGGCGATCCCTGACAACTCATCTCTTCAGGGAAACCTATTCCGCCTCTACCTAACAACTGAATTTTTACCTTTTGCATCAACAAATCCCCACGCAGTTTTTCATTTTTTTATCCCTACTTTTAGATTGTAAGCTCTTATCAGTAGAGCCCTCCTAACCCTCTTGTCTTGATTTGTATTGTAACGGTCTGCCTTTATTTTGAAAAGGAGTGTGCAAACTGTTGGCCTTATATGAATCCCGAATCATAAAAATAATTATAGGAATAATAATAATAACAACATGTCTACCTGTCTTTAGAAACTCTTCATGAATATATTCTAAATAGACAGAGTATGTTCTTCATTAAAGATTTTTTTTAAAACAGCATGACAGGACCTCTTTAAGCATGTGCCCATTGTCTCCCTCCAGATGACAGAAGTCAGATCGTCCTCCCTCTGGTGAAGTCTTTCTGTGAGAAGTCCTTCAAGGCTGACGAATCTGTCCTCACCTCGCTGTCATTACACTTAGGGAAGCTCTGCCATGGCCTGCAAGGTGGGTTCACTATTTATACCGCTCTGGTCACCTCTATCATTGTGTCTCTCAGGGGTGTTGCTAAGGTCCAAAAAGGCCTTGAGCACACCAAAGGTGAAAAACTATGGAGTACCACACTGAAGAGATCTCATCTCCTTTTATGTTCTTCCTACGTCTTTTCTTTTCCCTCTCTTTGCTCTCTCTCCCTCTTTTATCTACTAAGGTATCTTCTCCTCCTCTAGTACTTTGAGTACTTCTTGCACCTATGTAGAGAGACCTGGGCCACTTGAATGGAGACCTGCGGCCAGTTCCCCAGGTCCCATGGTCTAGCAATGCCCATAGTGTCTCTTCCCATGTATTATACTGGAAGCAAACTGTTGAAAGTGGACATTTTACTCCAAGCAAGGTGTGTGTATTTAGTGTGGCTCTCCCTCCTATGGCTAAAACATCACATTAAGCCTAAAAAACACCTG